GACCCTTTGTCCTCTGAGTTTCATTAGTCAGTCACCTAGGCAGCCTGGGTACACTTGTTATTTCTGGAGACAGATTGGTCCACAGCCTGGAGCAGCAACTCAGGGATGTACCATACACCAGAACTCCTTGGACCCAGATGATTTGGTAGGACTTCTCTGAGGAAGGCAATTTGACGTCTTGTGTCGGGGTTTAGTGGGCTGGCACAATGGTGTGACGTTTATAACATTTTAAGGATGGGAAAATGGACTGTTGTCTCACTGGACTCTGCAGAACTGGACAAGAATTGAAGTCCCAGTAGAAAGAGCAAGAGGCTCTCCAGCTGCCTTCATCAGGACTGGAGCCCCAGGGGGCTTGTTCTCTGACCCCTGTACACTAAGAGAGTTTCTTTTCTTCTCACTCTACCCCAACCCCCTCCTGCCTTCATTGTTCCTTTCTGTTTTCTCTCTAGAGAAGCCTGCCGTTTAGCTCCGTCCAAACCTTCTGAACAGAAGCCTGGCTTTGTGCAAACTAGGCTCAAGAACTCAGGGTGGCAGTGCTTGCATATTTGCTCTGCCTTTCCTCCCCAAACACGGGACCCCTACCCTCTCAAGACCCCCGTAGCCTGTACCATGTCACCTGCATGCCTTACGCATTGCTGGGGTATAGTCTAAGGTGTCCTTGGGCCAGATCCTTCACATAGCTTTAACTCAGTATTTGTTGGTCGTCTGCTCCATTTCCCCTGGAGACTGGAGGGAATGGCTGAGAGGCTGTGGTAGGGATGGTGGGCCAGACTTATGTTCTTTCCTTTCTCTGAAAGCCAAAGACCTGGCTGGAATGCTGCGCATTGCTGACTCTCAGCTTCCCAAGCTCAGGCTCTGGAGAACTTCTTTTCCTGTGTGTGTCTACTTTTAAGCTTTGTTTTCTGGGTACTGGATGTATGCCTGTCTGAGCCCCAGGCCCGTCTGTCCACAGCCCACTTTTCACCATCTCTCTCTGGGCACCTCCTGAGATGGTTTCATGACCATGCCCTGTTGGTTCTCGGGACAAGGGCCAATGAATATTCCCTCTGCCAGGAAACGCAGGTTCAGCTGCTAAGGAAGGTGGAGGGCGGAGGGCCAGAGTTTGATGGTTTATCTTTTCCTTGTTTCTTACTTGTTTCTGTTTTAGAAATGAAGTGTGGGGGTTTAAACTGCACTCTGTAGCCAGCAGGACCAGGCAACGTTTATCCAAATAAAGGCTTATCATTACCCCTTCCATGGTTGGTCTTTTCATTAGGACTCTGAGAGACATGGGGTTTGAGAGAAGGTTGGAGGATGTGGAGGGCAGAGAGAGGGTCTGAGGATCCTGTGGGTGGGGCCTTAAGTGAGGATAGGGCCTTAGGATCTAAATGGAGAACAGAAAATCTTGCCATCTGCCCGTTTTCTTCCCTGTGCTCTGGGGCTTGGGAGGCACAAGGTTTGAGTGAAGTCCCCCACCCTGCCCTCTGCAGAGTGCATCTGCCTTCTCTGTCCCCCACGAGAAGAGCAGGGCTCTAATTTAGCTGCTTTTCACTCTTACTCCATCTGCTGCTCTGCGTCTTGTAGACTGTAGACTTTTGCAGATGGATCGGTGTGGAAAGCAGGATGTTCCTGGTCAAAGCAGTGGCAGCTGCGTGAGGCATGATGTGTGTGGCGGATGCCCCTTGTCGGGTGTCTATTTCTGATCATCTCTTGTAGTTGGAGCCAGGGTTGAGCCGTGGCCATCTGTCATTGGAAACACTTCTCTTCCTTGCCGGGCCTAACTGCCAGTACTTATGTCCTCCCCTCGTCTTCGTATGCAGTACACCAAGCCAAGGCCTCGTGAGAGGAGCCGTGGTTTTCTGTCCTACCTCCACAGCTTGTCAGTCCCGTACTCAATCACGAGGCAGTGTCTCTCCAGGGACCTGGCATTATTTAGAGCTGCTGGCGCACTCTGGGTCAGAATCCACTGGTTTAGGAGAAAGCAACTCTATCCAGGGATTTGGATTAGGGTGACTTACCTTGGCCAGATTGGTTGATGAGTAGGTAAGTCACTGACTCCCTCCACCTTTCAGTTTGCATCCTTTGGTGAAAGGAAATTGAGAGAATACTTCCGAGGGGGATTAGGTTTGTGTTGCTAGTGCCGTGGCAAGGAAAGGATGCTAAGAATGCCAAAAAATTCTGGTAGACTGGGGAGGATGGTTGTTCCCAGGAAGATTATATGATTGGTCCCATGGGCTGGGAAGTCTTTGAAGTTCCAGGCTTTGAGTTACAGTTCTAGTGCACTTTTTCCCTCCATGGAGGGTCCCCCAGTGCCTCAATCCCTAAACACACACACTAGAATTTTGGTTAACAGTTTATACTGAGCTTCCACTTAATGTGTGTGTGTGTGCGTGGGCGCATGTTCAGGTGGGTGCACGTGTGCATGGATGTTTGCGAATGTGTGCGCGTGCATGTGGCAATCAGAGACCAACTGTGGGTGCCATCTTTCAGGATCTGTCCACCCTGGTTTTTGAGACAGGACCCACTCAATGGCTTAGGACTTAATAGAGTAGTCTAGACTGGCTGGGCAGTAAGCTCCAGGGATCCCTTCTGCTTCCTCGGGGCTGAGATTACAAGAATGTGCTACCATGCCCAGTTTTATGTTGGCTTTATGGATCCAACTCAGGTCCTCAGGCTTGCACAACAAACACTTTATGGAGCGATTTCCACTTCCCACTAGGAGGCAGTAGGGGTGTGGCCTTGACAACTCTTTCACAAAGCGACAAGCTCAGAGTCTTGAAGCTTGACTTAATTTCTTGCCGATTTATGCTCCTCCAACGTAGCCTTCCCAGAGGAACAGGGGAGCCAGGCTTTCTTGCAGGTTGCCCTGTAGGGCAGGGGCCTGGAAGAGCTCGGAAATACCTTTCAGCTGGAGGGAAGGGAAGGAATCCAGTCAACCAGCTTCTTCTGTTTTTTCTTTCCAGTTCCTGTGCTGGTATGCAGTGAACCACTGGAGAACTGGGTTTTGGTGTGTTGAGTAATCTACGCTGCAGTTTCTCTTTTCCCAGGGCATGAAAGCCCTTCTCCACGGTTTCCACCAGGAAAACGCTGTCTGGACTGCGGCACCTTTGCCTGCCCTTTGATTGCTGAAGACAAGGGGCATTTAGAAAGCCTGGTGAGGTTCACATCACACTGGGGCAGAAGAGTGTGAACTCCATGTGTTTTGCAGGAAAGCTGGCCGCTCTGTACTACTCCCAGTCCCTATGACCCACCGAGCGAGACTTGAGCTAGCTCTGGAGAGAATGACGTCCTATATTCTATTACACTTACAGTCTGGAAATCTGGTTTTCCATTAGCAAGTTCTCTCTGGCTAGGGATTGCAAAGAGTTGTCATGTGTGGGCTAGCTCAACGAGTTAGCCGGTCTGTCTCCTCTACCTGTCAGGCCTTCACAGCTGGTTCTCCACCCCCTTGGCAAACACTTAAGTGTTGCCAGGCAACCTTAGTGCATCTGGGTCAGTCTTGGTCCTTGGTATGACAATTGCTTCCCGTTGGCACTGCCCTCCACAGTAGCAGTCGAAATGCTGGGTCCTGGCAGATGGGAAAGACGCGTCAGTCCTTCAGTCTCTTCAGGGCTTTGGGGAAGTGTCAATTTAGTCACGTGCCTGAATGAGGAAGGGCCAGGCTGTGTGCCTGGGAGAGCCCAGGCAGCAGAAAATAAGGCAAAAGCTTCCCTCAGGAAAAGGGTTCTGAGCGGCCCAGAGGTCAGCAGCAATACATCTGCATTCTATGAAAGTGGCTTAGCAGTGACCACGATGAACCTGGTTCCCTGATGCCCTAGGCTCACCTCAACTCATCCCTATCCCTGAATTCAGAAATAATTCCAGGCCCATTGGGGCTTCCCACCAAGTCCTGTGCTGTTTTTCACTGTAGCTAGACTTACACATGTAGACAGCACACCCTTATGGAATTCTGTGAATTCACCATATCCACAAACTCCAGTTACCTTTGTGTAAATGTTTGTTTTAAGTTGGGGGCCGGTACTTTAGCTGGCAACAAAACTGCCTCAATTTAAGTGGTCACAGTCAGTCAGGGGAAAGAAGAAAGACGGTTCCTTTTAGGAAGCCACCGCAGAAATCCGAAGTTCCTTCTCGACAGTTGCCCATCTATAGCTTTGGGGAAACCTCTGGACCCACCACTGTCCTCTCCATTGTCCTCTGGCTCCGAGCCTCTTGCCCACTCACACTAAGCGCAAACACCGGAAACCAAGCCAAGGCGCACAAGAATGCAGCGTTTGTCAGCTAGACTCACTCCCCATGCCTCACAAGGGTAAAAGGGGTCAATCTACCCCTAGATATTAGCAGATGGCCTCTCCTCCCCAGTGCAGTGCTGACCCCAGGCACTGTGATCTGGTCAGCACAGCCCTGCAAAGGACAGAGGCTTGCTGGGTTAAAACCGTCCTCGCCAGGACAAGGTGGGGTTTGCTGTCCCGTAACACGGCCTCTTCTCTACAGTCTGCCTTTTACCCTTGTGAGGCATGGGGAGTGAGTCTAGCTGACAAACGCTGCATTCTTGTGCGCCTTGGCTTGGTTTCCGGTGTTTGCGCTTAGTGTGAGTGGGCAAGAGGCTCGGAGCCAGAGGACAATGGAGAGGACAGTGGTGGGTCCAGAGGTTTCCCCAAAGCTATAGATGGGCAACTGTCGAGAAGGAACTTCGGATTTCTGCGGTGGCTTCCTAAAAGGAACCGTCTTTCTTCTTTCCCCTGACTGACTGTGGAGGGCTAGGGAAGAGGCACCTGCCAGCAGGATGGGAAACATGATCCCAGACTAGGGCTAGCAAGAGCTGAATAGCTCTGACAGACTGAGAGAATCCAGAAATCCCATCACAGCTTGCCAGGGCTAAGAGGCTTCCTGTTCCCCACTCTTTGGTTCTCCTCCCATCTGCTTAGGATCTTGGCTTCTTCCTGCAGTCAGTGAGGCTGATGAGTGTGGGAATGGGTTTGGGCTCCAGCTCCCAAAGTGAAGCAGACAAGGTTTCATGTGATTTCTGCCAGCCCATACAAGAGGAGCTGGGGAGACTTTATTCATTTCGGGGAAGAAAGTGAGAAAGGAATGAGACAGAGTGTGCGGTGAAAGGCAGGGATAATACTGATACAAAGACGGATAAAGACATCGAGGACAACACAGCATTCGGACAAAGCACCCGGGGTGGATGTCCATCATCATGGGCCCAGGGCTCGACTATATCCAGACTTCTCTTTAGACTTAACAAGGAGGCTTGGGATCCCAAAGCACTGAGCTGGACGGAGTGAGAGGGTCCTAGCAGGGGACTTGCAGCTAACCCTGTGCAGCCCCACCTGCCCCGAGATGCTGGGGGGAAGCTGTGGTACCTGGCAGGGTTAACCCTTAGCTCCCACCTACTCCTCCTAGAATAGCCTGGCCTTTTACACTTCTGGCTTCTTGGTTCTCACCTGCACATCCTTGCACTCTTAACACCACTGGCAGCATGTCAGGGTGGGGCAGGCATGCGGTAAGCCAGAATTCATTCCAGGCAGGACAGCCAGGTGTACATGCACACAGTCCTCAGGGCACTCACTGCACAGCTATCATCAGACCTATTCCCTTGAGCCGGAAGTCATCCCAGCTGGAAGGGGATGGGGCATGATACAACAGAAAGGACTAGACATCAGCCATGGTTGTTTTCTGAGTCTGCTCCTCAGTACCCGGTCTCTAGGCTTCATCATCGAGTCTGGGGCCAGGGGGCTGCCGCTCTGCCCATTTGGCCATGCCCACTAAGGATGGGTGGCTGGCATGAGGGAACAGGGGAGCATGGGAATGTGAGGTTTTGGAGGGAAAGGACTGGCAGGTAGCTGGGTAGAGAGGAAGGTTCTCTGAAGACGGCTTCCCAGGGTTCTGACCAACACCTCTGCCCTCACCTTGACCCTCCTCAGCCAGCAGTCCCCAAGGGCGGGTCCGAGAAGCTAAGGCAGGTGTGAGCCAGGAGCCTGGGGTCACACCTGCCAGATCCCTGTCCCTCACAGGAAGTGAGATGAAGTGATGCCATGGGTGGTGACTAAGGCCCCAAAGTCCCTGCCCCTGCCTCTGCCAGAAGCCATCCAGCCAGGCCAGCTCCCAGAAAGCACAGCCTGTGTAAACGGCCCCTGAGGGGAGGATGACTTGCTACATACGACTAAAGAGTAAAAAATAAAAAGCACCATGGTGGCCCATGACAGTCTCCACAGGCCGGAGGTCCTTAGCTCAGGAGAGGGGAACAGCATGGGGGGGTCACACTGGCCTTCAGCTGTTCCCCCACACCCGGAACAAGTCAGTGCCCCACCCACCTGCTCCCTTCTTTCCCGGGCCACATACCTGACTTCAGATCCCCTTACAGCTCTTTCTCCCATATTCTGTCACATCTTGACGTTCCCAGAGACATACAGGGCTACGGATAAGCAGCCATGTTCAGATCCAAAAAAGATCTTGTCCAGCCTTGTACCGCTTAAAGTGGGCATGGGAACATGGGGACCACTGCCCTATTCCTGAACTCTGAAGCAGATCCAATAGTCTTATGCCCCTTTGGGGCTCCAGCCATGGGCCTGGCCAGGGGTATAGCCTAGGGGAAGGCTATGCACTTCCCAGGGACCCTCTGACCCCAGGAGGAACCAGGTGAGGCAAGGGACAAAGCAGCCAGCACCCCCCCCCCCCCATGGCTCCTTGTGCTGGGTTCCACGGGCTTGTCTCTGGGTCTAGGAGCTGTTGGTGTGATGGGCAGCCAGCCTCTGTGTGATACCGGTCAGCAGCAAAGGCATCCCTCCTCCTCTTCCCTCTCTCCTTCTTCCTCCTCTCCTCCCTCTCCCTCCTCTCTACTTCCAGCCACCTTCCATTTCCTGGCAGGCACAAGCTTCACCGTTCTATCCCATTGTACCCCCTCTGTGAGCCAGCAACCACACGCATGGTCTCTGTAGGGTGGGGTGAGGGGGATGACATAGGAAGCAGGCCCTTTCTGCCTCTGGGAAACTTAAAACTGCCACTTTTCCACGCACAGCACCCAGGAGTCTCCCCACAACCAGTCCAAGCTCTCTACCCGAGAGGCCGGTTATTCTCACCTATAGCGATCATTTCTTGAACGGATTGTTAATTTTTAAAAATTACCATTCATGTTCTAATTCAAAGCCCTGGCCTTAAAAAAAAACAAACAAACCAAAGCACTCCCTCCCCCCCCCCAAAAAAAAACTACCACATAGGGTCTGCCCTGTGGGAACAGCAGAACACAGCAGCCCACTTTAGCAGGGTGTGCTCTTTCCTGGACACAGTCCCACCCAGAACTCTTCCTCATCTGCTGGTCCTGCAGGCATTTGAGTTCGGTTGCTCTTAACCAAGCCCTCTACCCTCTGCAGCCATGTGGCAGCTGCTCTGGCTGACTCTGTTTCTCAGGAAAGCACATTCACGGTCACCTCATCCTGCTATCCCGTCACTTAAAGCCTCCAGCAACCTGACAAGTACTGTCTGTGCTGCAGGGACCACAGTCCCCACAGGGCCCCATCCTGCACTGCCTCCCACTGTCTCACTTACACTCCCAACTCCTGGGCTGTCTCTCCTCCCCCAGCCCTGACAGCCCCTCTCCACCCCTCACTTTCCTATCCGGGATCTCTTGCCTGAGGGCCGCGAGAGAGACAACTCCTGATGCTGCCTGCCTGGCCTCCTCCCTTCCAGTGCCCCACGGATCCATCCGCTCAAGTTGGCTGCCACCCCAAGCCTAAATGGGCAGCTAAGGAAGGGAAGGTGGGCCTTGGGTATAGGCATCCTGGTCTAGTCTTGTTTCCCCAGCAAGGGCTGAGATGACTAGAACGGGAGAAAAGAGCCCACTCAAACAACTAGAGGCCCCCACTCACCTACTCCAGCCCCAGCCAGTTTCTCAAGGTCATGGTATCCTCAGTGCAGTTCTGGGCGCTTTACAAAGTCCAGCCCTTCTGCAAGGAGTCCCCAGGCTGCAGTAAGAGTCAAGACTAGACTGAACCAGTCTAGTGTGCTGGGGGCCAGGAACTCTTCCCTGAACAGTCCTCTCCTTGTCTGCCTATAGCTTAATCACACACTGGCTATGGTGACAGTGTGTGTGTGTGTGTGTGTGTGTGTGTGTGTGTGTGTGTGTGTGTATGTGTGCGTGCGCGCGCCTGTGTATGTGTTGGGAGGGGCACAGTGCTGTCTAAAGAGTCATGCTGACCCGAGGGCTCTCCTGGATCATAGGCTTCCACCTTAAACAGATGTGTCCTCCGCCACGTTCCTGATTTGAGGACTACATGGACCTTTCTCAGGGGAACCCCTACCCTGCTTCCCTTTTCCTGGGTCATGATTCTCCATCCCGACCCCACCCCACCCTCACCCCACAGACTGGTGAGGCTAGCCAACCTCATCACTGCTGATTGGAGCACCACAGAGCCAGCAAGCCCTCCTCCCCAAGCCACAGAGTGCACAGAAAGAGCAAGCCTTGCCAGCTACCAGCATATCCACGTGCCTTTCCCTCCAAATACCTTAAACTTCAGTTGTAGGGTTAAAACTCCAAATGAAATACTAACTGCTTCTTGGCCCAAGGTTAGGGGCTTGGCTCTGTGAGAGGGGAAGTCACCTGGGGCTGATCTGCAAGGCATCCTTCCTGCCTCCCACCCCTAGCCCACCGGATCACCAGCCCCTGCCTGAAGGGAGTAGATTCTTTCCTGCAGGTAGGTCAGGGCCTCCAGAAGCAGAGGAGGCCTGGGGGTGCTGGCAGCAGCCTCACACCCGGATCTGGTACCCATTGAGGTCTGGCATGGCTTTGGGCTCTGCAGGCTTCTTCTCCCCTGACGGCCTGCAGAAGAGAAACAGGGGGTTCAGAAGAAGAGCGAGTGGTTCCTAGGGAGATGGAAAAGAGGGAGGGAAGGTGGAAGAGAGGTGGGGGAGGGCTGTCCAGCTGGCTTCCCTCCTCGAAGGGGTCTTTACAGCAGCAGCAGAGGGTATAGGGACTGTTTCTGGAGCCATAGTCAGCCAGCCTAGGGTGTCCTAGGTAATTCCCTGCAGCTGTCACACAGCCTTCTGCTCAGGGTGATGGTGTTTTAGCGGCAGAGGTCTGCTTAGCACCCCTCCCTTCGCAGCGGACAGGTGACTCCAGAGGGACAGTTATACTTAAAGCAAGAGTCAGGATGATTTGTGGGAGAGGGCACCAGAGCGAGAGGCCTGCTCTTTAAATAGCAAGTCTTACCATTTGAGCCCAGACAAAAACCCAGACCACAAGGGCAAAAGTTGTGTTCGAAGCCTTTTCTCCAGGCTGTGCAGTTGGGTCATAGACCAGCAAACTGCAGGAGCGCTCAGGGCCTTGTGGGAACCCCACAGAATTCATCCTCCCTCTTCAGTCCATTCTGCTGTCTACCTCAGACAACTGAGGGTATTTTCTTTAGGGGAAATGGCACCACACCGCTGGAGGCAATGCCAACACACCAACGCCTGGACCCGGCATCCCATGTGACTTCCCAAAGAGAAATGGATGGGAAGAAAAGAGGAGTGAGGAGGAGCCAGGAAGAGGAGAGAAGCCCCCTTTCTCACCGTCTCTCACTGCGGCTGTTCCTGCGGTGTGGGCTGGACTGGGCTCTCTGCGGGGAAGAAACATCCTTCTTCCGGTCCTTGGTGGGAGAGGGAGGGCCTGTCCCCTTGCCAATCTGGATGAGGAGGAAGAAACAAAAGCATGTTTTGGGCCGCCCCATGGCCCACTCTGCTCTGTCAGGAGTGTCCCTGGAAGCTGCCCTGGGCCCTGTGCACTCCAAGCCTTAGGTGGCCTTTGCCTTGTCTCTGGGTCACCCTGGCACTTGGGCAGTAGATTCTTGGTAGGGCTGTCTACTGTGAGGGTTCTGAACACAGTGTGGGAGCTGTCGCTGGGCTCCCACAGGACTGGAAGACATCTTTAAAGGTAGTTGTGCCTGCCAGATGGGGCTATGGGAAATGCTCTGGGACAAGTCCTACCAGCCCGACGGTGACCCTGACTATCTTAGGTCAATCAGATGCCAGACTGGTAATTGTAACTCTGATTCAGAAAAACAAAATGAAAAAACAAACAAACAAACAAAAAAAACAAGTCATCCTTTATGTAGTATGGTCAGCCTGTTTTGAGTTTTCTTCTCTCCCAGACAAATGGGGAGCTGCAAAAGAAGCAACATGGGGAGTCTAGCGCTGAGCAGGCTGGGTCAAAAGCACTGAAGAAGGAATCTTTAGGATGCCTGGAAAACACTGAACCCCGGGGGGTGCAGGGCCAGGGAGAAGGGAGTGGCTTCAGCATGGAGAACTTCTCTGTAATGTAGGCCTAGGGCAGCATCTACCTTGGGGGAAGACAATGTTAACCACAGGGGTTTGAAGGAGCAGGTCAGAGTGCAGTCGGGCTGTGGAGGCTCACTACCCTACTCCGCCACCCACTCAGATAGGCCTGGCACTGTTTCTTCCATTCAACGCACCCTGGCCCGATGTACCATATCCCTGATCTTCACATGTCCAAGCCTTAGCCTGTGCAAAACCCGCTCACTCCCTTCCCCCTCCTAGAGTAGGGTTCTTGGTCTGCCCACCCAAGGTTCAACTTCAACAGCAGGACTTTCTTGAGTAATGCCTGATCCCGAGTCCAAATAGATACTTTGTTCTCAGGAGCCCCTACTGGTCGGGGCAAGCCAGCGAAAGCATGGCGATCCTATAAGGATGCAGGGTTGACAGTGGCCCCGGGGACCACTGCTGATCCTAACCTTGAGACGCATGTCTCGGGCGTGCCGCTCAAGCTCCTTGCGGAAGTCTTCCCGACCCAGCCGCTCCACGTCCAGCACTGAGTGTTTCCATTCAATCTGTTCCACGCTGTGGGGGTCGTGGGATACGCACTGGCCCAGCTTTACCTTCTTCAGCACATGCCAGCAGCGGCCATAGGCCGCCTCATAGTCCAGCACGAGCTCACTGAGTGTGCGGAAGGCTGGAGGTTTATACATCAGGTCCTCCCTTCGGCTCATGCCCAGGGCTCCATAGCGGCCCCCAAAGTTCACCCCCAGCACAATGTGGCGGAAGTAGTTCCCTGAGAAATAGGTTTTGAAGCTGATGGGGAAACGTTCCAGGGTGGGCATGCTGTTGGTGAGGTAACTGGTGAAGCGGTGAGTTATGGAAAGCGCCAGGGCAAAATGGCATACGAGTGCCAAAGAGTGCCTAAACGGGACCTGTCTCCCTCCCCAGCCCTGACTGGGGTCCCCACAGAGGGCTGCTTCTCCGGGGAGACTTGCCAGCCTTCCCAGGTGCTCCCCTGCCCTGGGAGGGGTTTGGGCGAGAAACCCTGTGCATCTTTGCAGGCAGTTCTATTTCCAAGACGCCATCTGCCTTCTCTACAGATCAGCACTATCTGGACGCGCCAACAGCGGGCCTCCCCGCTGCTGCTCCTGGACTTAGAAATGGCACCAGAGCCAGGGTGCAACACTGTACCCATATGTGGAGTGCCAAAACCAGGGTCACCTTGTCTATGTTGCTATCCAGCAGGCCTGACGTGGTAGCAAGAGACAACAACCTCCCCAAGGATCCTCTCTCTCGCAGGGATTCCTCCACTCCTGGAGGCCGCTCCCTGCTGCGGGCCAAGAGAGGCTAGGAATGGTGGGAGCCCCGAGCCCTGAAGACCCTCCCCTACTACAGCAGGCAGCCAAGGCACTCTGAACCACTCTCCCAGACCCCAGGAAGGATACATTCCCAGGATCACAGCTTCCAGGCATTTGATTGGCAGAGCCTCTTTGGTCATTTCCTTGGCCAGGTCCATCAGCCTATGAGAAAGGGAGGCGGAGCCGTGTGGTGAGCGTCTTCAGCACCCTCAGGCTCTATTTGGTGAGGAGCCAGAAAGACTCGGCTGAGACTGCTCTCTAAGCTTGGTGTTATCCTCCCGGGCCTGGTGTTTCCTTCCCCCTCCCAAGTCAAGAGTCTCAGGGGGTGACTCGGGGGCAGGCCCTGGAGCTCAGGAAGTAGGCCTATTCTCTCTGCACTTCCCTCCTTTCGCTTCTTCCTCTCTTGCCGGGCTCCTGCTTAGACTTAGAGAGGGGAGAGGGAAGCATGAATGGTGGGCCCCACGCAGTGCAATAGGGCTGAGGGGAGGTGAGAAGCTTAGCATTGATGGTTTCCCTTCCTGAGCACAGCCAGCAAACATGCCTCATCCAACCCCAGCGGCCGAACTCCCTAACTGATGGAAAGTACTCTCTGCAGCCTGGATGTAGGATCTCGGGAAGACAGCTGTCCCTGCCTGCCCCTGAGCTTGGAATTTAGCCCTCGCCCGCTTTTGTTTTTCTAGACAGGGTTTGTCTGTGTAACCCCGGCTGCCCTATCCTGGAGTTCACTCTGTTGACCAGGCTGGTCTCGAATTTAGAGATCCGCCTGCCTCTGCCTCCCAAGTGCTGGGACTAAAGGTGTGGGCCATCACCACCTGGCAAAAATTAGGCCATTTCAAAACAGCCTATCCTCCAGGTCTGGGGCCTCAGCTTGGCCACTGGCGTTGCCTGGGACTCCTGTAACCAATGGGAAGATGGGATGGGACACCAGCACACAGCAGCAACTGACGGACAAGAGGAAAGCCCAGGATCAGAGAAGGTGGGTTCGACCCAAGAATTTCTAGACCGGGCAATTAATTAAATAAGCAATTCAGGGCATCCCCCACCCCCTGCCACAACTAAGCACCTTAAAACAGACTATCTAGAATAAGAGATTCGGTCTACATGCTGAGTCTGCATGCTGAGTCACGACAGGCTAGGAAGTGAGACATGCAGTCTCTTTCCTGTGGGATCTGATGCTTAGACACTGGACTTTCTACTTCAAGACCAGGAGAATCCAGGACAAACTGGGTAAGTATATAGGTACCATGTGATGCAGGGTGCATGGGAGGCTTCAAGGAAAGAAGAGGGAGAGGTTCTTCCCTGTTCCCATCCCACCCCTGCCCTGCCCACAGCACCTACCAGACAACCTGGGGAGGGGGGTTACCCTACTTACTAGTTACTAGCTGAGCTTTGCTTTCCTAAGCCTTAGGTGGCTATCTCATTGGGATTTCCCTTCCCAGGGTAGCGCCCTTCCCCCATACTATGGCTGGCTTTTCAGGGAAGTCCCTGCCTTCCTTCTTAAGCAGTCACTCAAAGCAAACCACCGAGGTTCCCTAGTGGGATCAAACCCAAGGAAAGGGTGGGGAAACCCTGAGAGCCCGGCCAGAGGCCTGGTACTTACCCTGTCAGAGGTCTGCTCTTCTTAATTTCAAAGAACTGTGTCCCCGTGTGATTGTACCTGGGGACAGTGGTTAAGGGCGTCCTGGCTTGGTTGGGAAGGCTGTGTCTTTCCCTTGGCTGCCGCCCCAGAGGCTGGATGGCTATAGAAGGACCCCTTTGCAACATCTGCCACAGAGCACCATACGGGCCGCTTAGGACTTGTTCTCTGGGAAGAGGGCCTAGGGTGCAGCATGGGGGTTCTCCTTGCTCTCACGGTGCTTATCTCCCTCGTCCTCTCCTGCCCTCTTGTCCCAGCACAGGACGCTGAGTGGGCAGCCAGCCCAGCCGGCTGAGAAAGTAGCCTTAGCTGGGGGCAGCTCCTTGGAGTGCTGGGTTTTCCAAACAGCTAAGAAGGCGGAAGGCCACCACCTCCCCTATGCCAGCTAGTTTTGTGTCAGCTCAGCACAAGCTAGAGTCATTTGGGAAAGGGGACTGTCAATTGAGAAGACGCCCCTACTAGACTGGCCTGTGATGAGTTCTCTTAGTTAGTGATTGATGTGGGGAGGGGGCCCAGCTCATTGTGTGTGGTGCAACTCCTGGGCTGGTGGTCCCGGATGCTCTAAGAAAGCAGGATGTATGAGCCACAAGGAGCAAGCAAGTAAGGAACACAGAACCCAGGACGCATGGCTCTCAGGCAGAAGCTCCAGGGGCCCAGAGCAAAGACATAACGGAACTGGCCTGCTGCCAGGGAAAAAAAGCGCCAAGAATTGGGGGAAAACTTCAAGCTATGGATAATATATCTTGGAGCAAAAGGTCCTTTTCCCTCCCCCATCCTCCCAAACCCAGCACTGCAATAGCCCCAAAGAGCTTCTTCCGTCCCTTTGCTGGGGCAGGATGAATGACAGCTGACACCCCCTTTTCTCATCAAGGTACTTAGGAGGCCCCTTCTCTCCCTACAGGCGCACGCACACGCACACACACGCACACATAAACACACACGCGCACACACACGCGCACACACGCACGCACACACACGCACACACGCACGCACATACGCATGCACACACACGCACACACACACGCACACACGCACGCACACACACGCACACACACACGCACGCACGCACACGCGCACACACACACAATAACACACGCACGCACATACGCATGCACACACACGCACACACACACACGCACACACACACACACACACACACACATACACACAGAGCATGGGGAAACAGGTGCTGGAGAAGCTGGAGCGTGTCCAGCACTCAGACAGCCTTGGCAGCTCTAGGGAACAGAAATGGCCCTGAGGATCCCTATCCAGGCCCCACTTGGTCTTCGGGGCTGTCACTAAGTGGTGGCCACTACTCCGGACCCAAGAGGATACTGCAGCTCCCTGATGTAGCGCTGCACGGCTTCCAGGCGCTCGGGGATGGGCGTCGTCGGCTGGAAAGTAGGCACACTTGGTATGGGAATCTAGGGACAGATGGAGGAAAGAAGCTCTGTCACATGGATAGGCACACCCTGGAGCTTCCAGCGCCCCCAGAGCAACAGCCAGGGGAGGCTCCTACTCTGAGCCACTTTCCCTGGGAGCCCTTCTTTCCCAAGGCTCCTCCCAGGCCTCCAGCTTAGCCATCCCTGATACCTGACTGTACTTCTATGTGGAACTTAGGTTGACCTTGCAATTTTACGCTGTTAAATAATTTTAGAAAAAACCAGCAGGATCCACTGACTACCTATATTAAATTTAAAATATGCATTAATTGATGCTTAACAAGAATGTCCGTATTGGGGTTAATTTGTTTGGGTTTAGGGGTTCACTCTGGTCTATGGCTTGGATGTGGCAAAGGTGTTAGGCACTTTGTCCCTGGGTAGGTTCTAGATAAAAGTATTGGGGTACTGCAGGCACCCCCTGGGAAAGGCAGTTCTCAGGATTGTCATCAAAGGGGCAGAACCAGCTCCTCCTTCCTATGGCCTCTGTGATCATCCAGTGTGATCTGCCTCCCCATGCTCCTGTCATGATGTCATCCACTGCCATCAGACCTTCCACAGTCTCAACCAACACAGGCCCCTCCAGCCCCAAAGCTAAAAGCTAAATAAACCTCATTTCTTCCTAAGTGTCCTGCCTCAGGCATTTCATTTTCGCAACGAGAAAACAGTTTAATACACTGGCTCGAGCACTAGATCAAAACTGGTTTCCACAGTGTTCCATTCTACCGCGTGGTACCATAAGCTAGGGGATCTATCCTAGACCGGTGGATATGACATCAGCCAGGGATGTCCGTGGCAGGACAGGTGTGCCAGGACTTCCAAAGCGCCAACCTGAACTGTCAAGGAGTATGGCAGTGGGGGGGGCAGTGGGGGGTCTTGCTTCAAAACACCCTTTCCCCACCCACTCCACATCTAACTAGTAAGTTCCCATCATTTCCCAGCAGGCTGCCATTGGACCACACAGAGTTTGCCCGTGACCACCTAGTTGCAAATGTACCAGGAGTCCCAAGTAAGTACACTCAGGGTGGGGCTATAGGGCGAGGAAGGACTCATTGTTGGTATGAGAGGCTGGGCCCAAGGAGGATTTTACAATATTCTAGTCGCTGTGGCTGGGCTCTGTCAGGAAGGGAAGTGACACACTGGTTATCGCCAGACACTTGTCTCTGGGGTGCTTCTTGTGGTGGGAGACCAGGACCGTGTCTCTGGCAGATACTGTTCCATTCCATAGGGTGCAGATGCAGGAAGGAAGGGCCCTGGCTCGGAGACAGTCTAGCATGTCTTTCTTCCCTCTTCCCTCCCCAGGGTCCTTTGCTTCCTGTCTGGGCAGTCTCCAGCAGCAGATACCACAGCCTGGGGAGGTTACTTCCCCTTCCACATCGGTACCATCTTCAAACTGGCACCGTCACTTATAGCCACCTGCGGGAGACAAGCTCAGGGTGGGCCCTGCCTTCACCTGTCTGGATCACTCTGCACCAAATGTGCACTTGAACTATCCGAGGGGCTGGTTGGCCATCCTGGTCAAGGGTATGGGGGTAGGGAGGTAGGCCAGAAATAGCTTAGCAAACCTCTGTAAGTAGTACTGCATCTCCACCCACGTAAGCTGACCTTTTCCCTTTTACTCAGTGTAGCAAAATCACCCCTCCTTGGGGAGTAGGTTCCAAGAACTGGAGTTGTAGCCGTATAACTGTACCCAGATGCTCATCAACCACTCTGAACAGGGAGGAAGCCATGGAAGAACAACTTGCCAGAGCTCAGGGAGAGAGATTTAGGAACAGGCTCAAGCCAGGACCAGATGGTACCCACAAAAGCATCATGGACACCTGCCTCCATCAAGGACCCGTCAAGAAGGTTGCTGTGCAAGAAGAATCAGACATGACCTAGGATCCTAAGCATGTCTTAGAGACCACTATCCCAAGGGCAAAGCTTGATCCCAGAACCAGACAGTCCAGGGTTGTAGGACAATCCTACTGAAAGAGTCCCTCAGGCCAACACAATGAGGAGGCTTAGGGGAGGTGGGAGAGCCTGTGGCTGGACTTGGGGGCAAGTCAGGAAGACTTAGTGATGACCAGAGCAGAACTGGCTCTGCTATGGAATCTAGCTCTGTGATTTCAGCGATGTCCTGAACAGCAGTGCCTCAGAGGGCTCATTGGTGAATGTTCCTCACTTGTGAAAGTGCAGCCACGGAACCCGCCTGGGGTATCACCGGGCTACTGCAAGCAGACACCTCAGGACACTGCCCAACACCTGGCTACAGATGTATGCCAAGGACTGTCCAGCACACGCTGCCCTGGGCTATCTGGCCCTCTAGAGACGCCTGGATGCCCGTCTGCAGATGCTCAGTGGTCAAAGCTGCAGCTAGATCTTCAGCATTAGGGTTGGGTCAGTGGTCGCTGGACTTTCAAAGGGATGACAGCTGGAAACAGCTAGAGAGATTCTCAGGAAGGAGCATAGCCTGCTGCTGGCTTCTGGATACTTCCAGAAACTGTTATGTTTGGGCTCACTCTCGCAGATACTGCAAGTGCTTATGGCTTGCTGCATGCCCTTGCTGTGGAGGGGACCCTATTAGACGCTCACCTAATGAGGTGTTTGTTACATGCTTTCCATGACCAGTTCATCTCAACATCCCCACGAAGTGGGCACTGCCGTTGATCAGTGCACTAGGGGATGCAGAAGGGGCAAGGATGCTGCACACCTTCCTCTTGTAAGTAGTTATGAGATAGCAAGGGTGAGAAGGCATGGTGGCTTCCCCTCAGAGAACTGCCTTTCACTGCACTGCCCTGCTGCTGTGCATCCAGCTTCCTGCAGAGGCTTAGCCTGTAAAACTCGGGGAAAGCAGGTGGGGGCATGGGAAGCTGTAGCAAAATGAGGGAGGGGAAAACAGAGCCCAGCCCCTCCTGCCAGCTGCCACAGTCTTGCTGTTCCCGTATCTCTTACTTTCCTGTAAAGATGCCAAAAAGTATGGATCATTATGAGAGAAATCACCCAATGTTATTGTTTGGCTCAAGCGACGGTCTGTTAAGATAATGTGTATCTTAAGAAACCGTTCCCGGGCCCATCAAGAACACTGTGACCTCTGCAGCAGGCCATCAGGGAGGGGACAGGCCAGGCTCAGGCCTTTCTGTGGTTCACAGTATGACACCCAATATTTGCTGCTCTTCTCCACAGCCTCTAGGGCTCCTCCACATCCCCTGGACCAAGTTTCCAGTTGAGCTTCATGGTTCCTCACTTCCTCCATCTGAGACGCTTTCCCAAAAAGCTTAAAGTTTCAGAATTCTCTCTGACTTTCTCACCTGACTCCACACTTTCATCTCTAACAAACAGCTGATCCCTTCGAACCTGTCCTTTTTTCCCCGAGCATGAGGCCTGAAGACCACATTACTGACCAATCACTGTTGAAGACACTAATGGATTGAGTCCTCCAAAGCAGTGACCGTTCTGCCACTGTCCTATGGTCCAATCCAGACAGAACCAGGAGGGCTGGATGCTGTGGGGGATGTGTGTAGCTCTGGTCTCATCAGCCAGATACTTTGGGTGGCCTCTCATCTCCCTCCTCACAATAGTCCCGGTTTCTCATTTCACCCTCTCCACCACCAGCCCATTTTTCAGATAAGAAAACTGTGGCTCAAGCAGGCTGGAGGGGATTGCCTTGAGCTCACATGGGCAGGCAGGAGATCCGAAACAATACCTAAATCCCGCGATGTCATACTTTCTTGTTTGGGAATTTGTCCCAAGGTCAAAAACTCAAAGCAGGATCCCAAAATTTGTGTTTTAGAATGTTCGACACAGTGTTCGTTTTAAGGATAAGACAGTGGAAACAATGTCCAGTTCAGACTAGCTGAATAAATGAGACGACGATGATGTAACTATTCAATCAGTCTAGCTTATTCCCCTGGGAAGCATTAGGCACTAGGAGCTCAACCTTCAACCTCAGATTATCTTTCCCCCAAACAGTTTTCTGATGGCTATGCCAATAACCCAGCGAAAGCAACACAGGCCTGGTCCCCAGGCATCAGGAACTCCATTCTCCCCTCTCTTCCTTCAGGACTAAGCTATAGGTCTGATTTCTGACCAATGGTCTCAGTACGTGGAACAGTGCTTCCTTAGACAAAACATAAACATTAACACACGCGCGCGCGCACACACACACACACTATAGCACACTGCACAACACAGCACTACCCAAATGCCCTTTCATTTAGCAAACACACATAAGCGCCCGCCCTGTGCCAGGCACACAGGAGACCTCAAGAAGACAAAGATGAATGAGACAGAGCCTCCCCTTCCTGAGCAGCACCATGGAGGCACTGTTGTGGCAGATGAGCTCTAGTCAATGCAGAACACTTTGCTCCTTTCTTCCCACAGGGTCACTGCTATGCCCCTGAATCTGGTACCCAACAGAGCTGAGCATCTGGAGCCCTAAGACCTGGTGCTGATCCCAGCTCTGCCACTTCCTACGTACCTTTTGAGTTTCTCATCTTAAAAGGGAGTCCAAACTATTTCCTTTGGGCTGTTGCTGGTCAAATTCAGTAGATATTATATGAAAATATTTTCTCATCATACAAAGTCATTCATCATTAGTCTCATTGTTTTTTGGCTTGTCAAATGTCCTGAGCCAGAAAGATGCCAAGCCACATTGGTTACCCAGTTCATCTGTGGCCCTACCCAGAAAGCCATGGAAGAGGGCCTCCTGGAGATAGAGCACTGAGCCTCCCTCATCAAATGACCCCGAAAGCACTGGAAAGAAAGTTCTGGACAGGTGTCACCTACCTATATTAAAAAAAAAATCTTACCAATGATCCCCTACTGTTTCCATCAGAAGCAAGATATGGGTTATTTTCTTAGCTTCAAGGTCAATATAACCCATCCTCATTGTGCCTGCCCGCTTCCTGTCTTACCTTGGGAAGGTCCGTGGCCCCACGGATCCGCAGGGCCACCTTCTCTCCATCCGGGTGGATCTTGGCCACATGCTTCCACATCCTTTCCCAGGTGGCTTCGTCCACTGGCAGTCCACCTCGGTTGACGAAGAAAGGGACACCTCCATCTCGTAGGTCCTCTTCCCCTTCCTCCTCTGGTTCCTCGTCTCTCTGTGCTGAGGCCCCTTCGCTGGTCTCCAAACGTTTAATGCCAGAGTGGGAGGCGGCGGCAGCAGCAGCAGCAGCGCTGGCGGCGGCTGCATTCGGGGAGGCACTGCTGCTGCCACTTGGGACCACCTTCTTTCCCCCTGGCATCCCTAAATCCTCGATGGGGGTGGGAGGATATATCAGGAAGCGGGAAAACTAAGTGCCTCACAGGAGGCTTCCCACATATCCGCTATAAAGATAACACATGGCCAAACAGTGCCGGGCGCCTTTAAGAAACCAGGGCGTGGCTCCTATACAATAAAATACTATTTGGTAAGAAAGAATCAGAGCATCAGCTTGGAGTGATGGCCAGGTGGGTTGCCTAGGGTCCGCCTTAGAAGCCCTGTTTTGTTTGAAAAACTGGATGAAGAGAACACACCCCAACTTGGCAGCCTATACAAAGCACCCCAATTTGGCAGCAAGAACAATGACCCGCAGCGATCTAGGATGGCTGAGAGAAAAGTGGGGTTCCGGGGGTGGGGAGACTGAGGCCAGACAGTTCTTGCAGCAATGCTGAAAAGGAGGCCCAAGGCACCGGTGCCCACTCCCCGTTTTGGAGAGAAGAAATTCCTCTACGGAATCCTTGCACACTCACACTGGCGCGAGCGGAGGGGGCCCACGTGAGCTCCCAGTCTGGACCCCAGGGATCGGGGATGCAGGGGGGGACGCGGCGCCGGGGGCGACTTCTCTGTCGCGACCCTTCCGGGAGCCAAGACTCGCAGCTGGCAGGGCGGGAAGGGGGCGCGCACCGCCGTACACATTCCACGCCCGCCTCCCGCACAAAGTGGGGCTTTGTCTAGATCCCCTAGCCCCTAGCCCCGGGGAACAGCAGTAAAGAGGGCGCAGGGGAAGGGCGCGGCGGGGAGGCGAGGGCTCGGGGAGCTCGGGCCCTGCGATCCCCAGCCTGGAGCGGATCAGCGGGGATACCGGGGGCACCTGGCGCGGCTCGGTCCCAGCTGAGCCAAAGAGGGACGCGGGGCCCCAGGCTCAGCCATCGTGGGGAGCGGCTCAGGCGACTCGCGGGGGACCAGGCTGAGGTCGCTGAGCGGCAGACTCGCCGCTCGCCACCAGCTGCAGCATGAGCGGTCGGAGGATGCTGCACTGGGGTTCCCACGGCCAGGCTGAGCAGGGCTGGGCGCGCGGGGTGAGAGGGCAGGTCCGTAGGCTCGGCCCGCGGCGGAGAGTGACAAAGCCCTGGAGGATGTCGGTGCACCGATCCCCAGGGAGCAGCAGCCTATGAAGGTGCAGCCCACCGGCCGATGGCGGCGTCCCGGCTTGGCGAAGCAGAAGCCACCGCTGCCGCCGGCCGGGTCCCCCGCGCCTCCCGCCGCCCACCAGGCTCGACTCCGGCCCGTGCCGCGCATGCGCCCCGTCCCCCCCTTAAAGGGCCAGCGCGTTCCCGCCGGGTCCTCCTCCTGCTGCCGCCACCCCACTACCCCCCATAGCTACAAGTTATCGCAGGACTGTCCTGAACGTTCCCTCCTTCTCACCTCTCTCTTAGGGCGTTGAGAAGTGGGTGCAGAGCTGCGGAGGAAGTTTACACCCCGCCACATAGAGCGCAAACTCCTGGGGGATTCCTGGCGCGGAAGGAATTGTGGCGGGCGGTCGGGAATTTCCTGAAGGACAGACACATCGAGGAGGGGCGGCCCTCATCTATAGAATCAAAAACGCTGACCTGGAAACCGCGAGTTCTAGACGGTGTTCATGCCCATTTTCCTCTGGGACGTTTTGTAAATCTCTTCTCTTTGCAGACTTCAGTTTCCCCATCCGTCATGCTGGATGAACTCTGCTCTTCTGACAATGCTCCTCAAGGGAGGATTTGTAAGGGTTGAGAGTTTGCTGTGCTTATTTTGGTTACTTGCATGGGATCCCGGGAGTGTGCCCCTAGTTCTGGCTTTGGATATCCTAGTCCCTGGCACCTGGCTGGAGACAAGAGCTTTCCCAATCATGGGACCAAGACAGCAACACAAGGGTGGGAGGCAGTGTTTGGGGAGAGTTGACCTGCCCAGATAAGCACGGTTGTGGGTTGTGTGTGGCATGTGGATGCTGTAGACCCAACACACCCTCTCCTTTCCCTGTAGCACAGATCTGCGTGTAACTCCCAAACTAAGAATTTTACCAGACATCTACAGCTGAGCAGTGTAAGACTTTTTTTCCCCTGCCAGTAGTTGGTATGAAGAGCCGTCATCTGGGAGAAATGTTCCTCACAGATATAGTTTGGATATTGAAGGTCTCCGAGAGACCAATGTGTCCCCAGATGGTGTTATTTGGAGGTAGCAGAACCTGTAGGGGGTGGGGCTGTGTGTATGTGTGTGTGTGGAGGTGGCTGAAGGTATCCTCTCCATCCTAATGTCATCGCTGTTACTATGATAAGCAACTTAGGGTAGAAGGGATTTGTTTTGATCTATACTTCCAGGTCACAGTCCGTCACTGAGGGATGGAATTCAAGGCAAAATCATGAGGAGTGCTGCTTACTTAGTCAATCATGCTAAGCTATTTATTTATTTATAGGTGAGATCTCATTATGTAGCACCGTCTGATCTGGAACTTGATAAGCAGACCGGTTTGGCCCCAGACTCACAGAGATCTGCCTGTCTTTGCCTCTGAAGTGCTGGGGTTAAAGGCGTGTACCCACGTCAAGAGTAGAGAGACCTGAGATTCCCCAGGCCCTTAATGCTTCTCCATGGGGTCCTTAAAGTTCCTCCTGGTGTCAGATCTTTCTGAGCTTCAGTCACAACCTTTTGTCACCTCCAGTGTCAAGAATCAGGCATGGTCAGTGCTAGGGATGTTTCCAGAAGGCCAGGTTCTTCCTAAACTCGCTCTCAAGGGGCGTCCGGCATGCAAATGGCACCAGAGATCAACAGCTGCTTCCTTCTTTGTTGTGTACATGGGGAAGCCTGCCTCTAGAGTGCAAGTTCTCCAAGCCCACACAGGAACAAGCCGCAGAACCAGACTGAGAGCAGAAGGCCTCCTTGTGACACTGCCTCTCGGCTTAATAATGTCTGTCTCGTGTTTACCCAGTGCTCACGGTGAACTTACAGGATGTTCACGAGTTCTCTGCCTGCTCTTTGTGAATGTTGGAGTCTGATTCCCCTTCCTCTGAACGTGCTAAGCTCCAGTACTCTAAAGACTAGAATGAGAGGAGGTGGATGCATTGAGACCCTTCACGGCAGGGTCACAGAAATGAGATGCTATCTTCCGAAGACACCAGCTGCCATGTTGTGAGGAAGCACAAGTAATGAGGGCTTTCTGGCTGACAGCTCCCAGTAGATTGCGGCCAACGGAGACAATCAATACAGGCGGTAAACTGAGTCCTCAGAAGATCAGCCCCTGGCCTTTGGGTCTTAGACCCAAGGTCTCAGACATGGAACAGAGGCAAGCCAACCGCACACACCCTGTCGGAATTTTTCTCCTACGGAAATAGAAATTCAAGTGATTTTTTTTTTTAAAGCAGGTAAGTTTGAGCTGTAATTTGTGACATAGCATCAGATAATTAGCATAGCTGGTTTCCTAAAACAAAATAGATGTGTGGTTTTCATAATACATACTAAATAGATGTAGGTTACTCACTGAAACCTTCAAATGGTGTAAGGATCAGGGAGCATCTACACTGGTCGCTGTTGCTATGGATACAATGTGAATACGATGTGATGTGGTCTTTGTCCCAACAGACCTTCTGGTCTGCTAACTGAGGAGAAGGCTGGACGCAATTGCCGTGAAGTCCTCTGCCAGAGAGCAGTGTAGTCAATCGTGAGAGTGCATATTCTAGGTAACTTCCCAGGAATGTGGAAGGCAGGAAAGGAAGAAAGGGTTACAAACCTGCAGGATCTACTCTGGGGATTGGCTGGCTTGTGCCGGTAGAAGTAGGAGGAGATATGCATCCAGCAAGGGAGAAACAAAAATACCAGGCAATGGAGAACCTGGAAAGGGCTGTGTCTTGCCTGTTGTTACACAGCTTGTGAATTGGGTCCAGATCCTGACTTCTCGTCTAACCCTCCCAGGACTCCTCCAGACTTGTGCCCTGAGAACAACATCTATAAGAGACACAGGCAACTCCTTACTTTTGTTCAAAGTGCTTATGACCACAATCTCCTTTGCTATCCAAACAAAATCTCCAGAAGAAGGGGTAGGGGGTGTCACTCTTTGAAGAGTGCTTGTCTAGCATGTCTGGGACTCTGAGTTTAATCCCCAGCACTGCATAAACCAGTTGTAGTAGTGCGCGCATATAATATCAGCTCTTGGGACGTGGAGGCAGGAGGATCTGAAGTTCAAGGCTCTCCTCAGATTTATAGTGAACTCAAGGTCAGTCTGGGTTGCATAAGACTCTGTCTCAAAATAGGACTGGGAGAAGGTAGGATGGGCATGATTTCCATGGTGCAGATGAAGAAAGGCTGCATGGATTATGTCTCTAGTAGAGGCGCTGGCACATCAGAGCTACTGGATCCCAGTGATTTTGATGATGAAGATAAAGTTCATATTATACACATCACAGTTGCTATCACATTCTAGACTATAGTTCTAGAGGTGAATACAAAGGGTCTTAGGACATCAGCATTCATAGAAATCTCCTTTGATTAATGTTTTTGTTTACTTGTTTGAGACAGTCTCACTATGTAGCCCTGGATGGCCTGGAACTTGATGTGTAGACCAGGCTGGCCTCGATTCAGAGACCTGTCTGCCTCTGCCTCCCAGGTGCTGTGATTAGAGGCGTGCATCACCACCTCTGCCTCCCGGTGCTGTGGTTAGAGGCATGCACCACCATCCTGGCCCTTATTTTCTGTTTCTGACACTAAACCTCGAGTCAGAGTCCCAAAGAGGAACGTCTGCCTTAGCTTGGTCTTGGGCCCATCGCCTGTCTGAAGGAGAGCAGTACAGTCTAGCAGTTGTCTAGCTAGGGCCGTAGACAGTGGGGTCAGAAGGCCTCCCTTAAAGCAATGGGGTGCTGCTAGTAAAAGAGAGGCATAGAAGTCCGCAGGCATAGATAGCGTTTATAACTGACTGACCCTCAATATCTTCTCTATCCATGGCATGGATACTACAAATCACATGTGTGCTTTAAACTTAACCCTAAGTAAACTCGAAAAGCTAGAGCCCCGGTTACACTGGAC